ATATATATATATACCACATCTCCTTTATCCAATCATCAGTCAAGGGACACTTATGTTGCTTCCACTTCTTGGCTATAGTGAATAATGCTGCAATGAACATGGGGGTGCATTAGCCTCTTTAGATTGTTGATTTTAGGATCTTTGGGTAAATACCCAGAAGTGGGATAGCTGGATTGTATGGTATTTCTATTTTTAATTTTTTGAGGAATCTCCATACTCTTTTCCATAGAGGCTGTGCCAGTTTGCATTCCCACCAGCAGTGACTTAGGGTTCCCGTTTTTCCACAACATCTCCAACACTTGTTGTTTTCTGTCTTGGTGATTATAGCCATTCTAACGGGTATAAGGTGATATCTTAGTGTACTTTTGATCTGCAGTTCCCTGATGATTAGTGATGTTGAACATTTTTTCATGTGCCTATTGGCCATCTGTATATCTTCTTTGGAAAAATGTCTGTTCATATCCTCTGCCCATTTTCTTATCAGTTGGTTTGTTTTTTCATTGTTCAGTTGTGTATACATATATATATATCTTTATATATTATGGAGATTAACCCCTTGTCAGGTATATGATTTGCAAATATTTTCTCCCAGCTAGTGGGTTGTCTTTTCATTTTGATCCTAGTTTCATTTGCCTTGTAGAAGCTCTTTAGTCTGATGAAGTCCCACTTGTTTATTTTTTCTTTTGTTTCCCTTGTCTGAGTAGACATGAAATTCGAAAAGATCCCTCTATGACCGATGTCAAAGAGTGTACTGCCTATGTTTTCTTCCAGCAGTTTTATGATTTCAGGTCTTACCCTCAAGTCTTTGATCCATTTTGAGTTAATTTTTGTGTATGGTGAAAGAAAATAGCCTACTTTCATTCTTTTGCTAGTGGCTGTCCAGTTTTCCCATCACCATTTATTGAAGACACTTTCCTTTCTCCATTGTATGTTCTTGTCTCCTTTGTCGAAGATTAGCTGTCTGTAGATGTGTGGTTTTATTTCTGGGCTTTCAGTTCTATTCCATTGATCTGTGTGTCTGTTTTTGTGCCAGTACCATGCTGTTTTAGTTACTATCGCTTTGCAGTATATTTTGAAGTCAGGGATTGTGATGCCTCCAGCTTTGTTCTTTTTTCTCAGGATTGCTTTAGCCATTCGGGGTCTTTTGTTGCCCCATGTGAATTTTAGTATTCTTTGTTCTATTTCTGTGAAGAATGTCATTGGGATTCTGATTGGGATTGCATTGAATCTGTAGATTGCTTTAGGTAGTGTGGACATTTTTGTAGAATATGTTTATAATAATAAAATAATAAACATATTTTGAAGAATATGTTTATTCTTCCAATCTGTGTGCATGGGATATCTTTCCATTTCTTTATGTCATCATCGATTTCTTTCAATAATGTCTTATAGTTTTCATTTTATAGGTCTTTCACCTCCTTGGTTAAATTTATTCCTAGATATTTTATTCTTTTTGTTGCAATTGTAAATGGGATTGTCTTCTTGAATTCTCTTTCTGTTAGTTCATTATCAGAGTATAGAAATGCAACTGATTTTGTAAGTTGATTTTGTACCCTGCAATTTTGCTGTAGTTATTTATTTCTAATAGTTTTCCAATGGATTCTTTAGGGTTTTCTATATATAAAATCATGTCATCTGCAAACAGTGAGAGTTGCACTTCTTTGTTGCCTATTTGGATTCTGTTTATTCCTTTTTCTTGCCTAATTGCTCTGGCCAGAACCTCCAGTACTGTGTTGACTAAGAGTAGCAAGAGTGGGCACCTTTGTCTTGTTCCTGTTCTCAGAGGAATGGCTTTCAGTTTTTCCCTGTGAGTATGATATTGACTGCAGGTTTGTCATATATGGCCTTTATTATGTTGAGGTACTTTCCTTCTATACCCATTTTGTGGAGAGTTTTTATCATAAATGGATGCTGGATCTTGTCAAATGCCTTCTCTGCATCTATTGAGATGATCATGTGGTTTTTATTCCTTGTTCTATTAACGTGGTGTATCAGATTGATTGATTTGCGGATGTTGAACCATCCCTGTGTCTCTGGTATAAATCCCACTTGATCATGGTGTATGATCTTTTTAACGTATTGCTGTATTCAGTTTGCCAATATTTTGTTGAGGATTTTTGCGTCTATGTTCATCAGCAATATTTCCCTGTAATTTTCCTTCTTTCTATTGTCCTTGCCTGGCTTTGGTATCAGGGTGATGTTGGCCTCATAGAATGTGATAGGAAGTATTCCATCTTCCTCTATTTTTTGGAGTAGTTTGAGAAGGATAGGTATTATATCCTCTTTGAATATTTGGTAAAATTGTCCAGAGAAGCCATATGGTCCTGAACTTTTATTTTTTGGGAGATTTTTGATTATTGTTTCAATCTCTTTACTTGTGATTGGTCTATTCAGATTCTCTATTTCTTCTTGATTCAGTTTTGGGAGGTTGTATGAGTCTAAGAATTTATCCATTTCTTATAGATTGTCCAGTTTGTTGGCATATAGTTTTTCACAGTATTCTCTTATAATCCTTTGTAT